CCGCGGGGCTGGAGCAGCCGCGCTGGAGCCTGCGGGGGGCCCGGGGCCGCTGCGTGCGAAGGGGACGGCGCCCTTGCGTGGCTGGGATGCGACGGTCAGACTCCAGGGCCAGGCTGTTTCACACCGCCCGGGCGGGAGCAGGGAAGCCACCACCAGCGCTGTCTCACCTTTTCTGAGGCTGGATTTATCATAGAATTAGGTTGGAAAATATTTTCGGGATCGCCGGGACCAACCTATGACCCAACACTACCATGTCAACCAGACCAAGGCACCGAGTGCCGCATCCAGTCTACTCAAACACCTCCAAGGATGGTGACTCCACCGCATCCCTGGGCAGCCCAGTCAAGTGTCCAATCACCCATTCTCTGAAGAAGTGCTTCCTAATGACCAGTCTGAATCCCCCCTGGTGCATCTTACAACTGTCCTCTTGTCCTGAGCCCTGGGAGAAGAGCCCGACCCCCACCTGGTTCCAGCTTCCTCCCAGGGAGTTGCAGGGAGCGATAAGGTCACCCCCGAGCCTCCTCCAGGATAATTCACTCTGAGCTTTAGGAGCTGTGCTCTTTGGGTTGTTCCATGTAATTACTTTGACAGCTGCTGGCTGGTGTCCACCAGGTTTCATGGATCACACAGCCCTTGGCATATGCCTGGCACTGTGTGAATAACCAGGTGTGTTTGGGGTCCTCTGCTGGGGCAGCAAACGTGGCTGCTGGCCCGTGTGTGATGAGGACAGAATAGCCACCAGCAAAGGTGCACTGAGATGAGACCAGATGCTAGTCTAAACTCACTCATTCCCCAACAAATCAAATGGGCATGTTTCAATAATGACAAAACAAAAGTGAAAGTTTGCAAACCACATTAGTAACCCTACAGTGAGGTTCCTATTTTAAAACTACTTTCTTTACCAATACAAGGACAATTTTCTCCCTGTACCACCCTTAAACTTCACTGTTTTCGTACCAGATCACACAGTTTTAGTCTGTTGGCTCAAATCTCAAATGAAAGCAGCTTATTTTCTCACTAATGCCTTTTAATTTCTCCTTTCATCTGTTACTACTTCACTATCCAAGTGCCTGTAGCACAGTAGCATTGGGATAGAGGTAACACACCTCACATTCTGGACTCTGCTGAGCTCTACTCAGGAGCAAGGGGATCAGGAAGATGATGCTGGATAAAATCAGTGCCCTCCAGCCTCAACTCTGCCTTCTCCAAGCAATTTTAAGTGGATACCTATGCCAACCCTGGATATCAGAGGGGCATCACCTCACTCCCTATTCCGGTGATTCACGTGAGGAAAAAGGATCTCTTGGATCTTAGAACGAAGAGTAAATTGCTGTTGCTGGAGATTAATTCCACCCTTTCAGCCTCCAGGCTTTCTTCTTTGTGCTTCAAGCAAAGCTCAGCCAAGCCAAGCGCTCGAGCTCTCTGAGTCGAGCAGTGCCACAGCAAGGGGTACAGGATTAACTGTGGCTCTGGGGCTGAGGAAGAGGGAGAACTGGCAAAAAGGGAAAAACTGTTTTTAGAGCAGACTCGAGACAGGAAGAGGGGGGGTCAGAAGGTGGGGTTGGCATGGAGATGTGGCAGAGGAAGGAAGGAGCAGTGGCCAGAGCGGCCATAGCAGGCGAGGTCACCTGTTTGGTGAGGTAGTTTTTCTCTGAACATAAAAGCTCAAGAAAAACTGATGTCCCGGAGAACCTTTCCTGAGCATCCTCCTCTCAGCGAAATCTGGCTGTTGGCAGGAACTGCCAAGGTTGTGCACCATCAACAGGTCTGGCTAAAGCCTCACAAGGGATGGAAGATCTGTGTGTTTGAATACACAGCTTGGCATCTGCAAGTCATTAGCTTGGCCTGTCAGGAAAAAACTGTTCCCAGTCAGGCTTTTGCAGAGCAAAGCATGGGAACATCTCAACCCTGACTGACTATGCACAAGTAAAGCACACAGAAGATGATACATTAATCTGAATAATTTCCATAGAGTCCTTATCCTGTATAAACAGAGTGCACAGTATTACAAGCTGCTACACAGTTTAACAGCTTATGATAGCATCTACTGTAATGCAGAGAACTAGTGATTATTTAATTAGAGGCTGTCTAAAGGTTTGTGATAAGTGCTTACATGTGTAATTTCCATTTTTCTAGTTCTTCCAAAATGTTTATCTTTTGACCCTAAAATTCTCTTAACCTTTTGTAAATGTTTTAAAGAAAAAAGATAAGCATTTTTCATTTACATAAACAGGATTTCAAGTATTGTATACAAATATATTAGTTAAGATTCCTAAGGGAAAAAAAATCATATTATTCTTTATTTTCAGGTGAACCTGGGCCCAAGAGGTTAAATAAATCACACAAGGTCACTGAGGGAGATAGTGGCAGAGTCAGAAGTGTGATTGCAGCTCCAACCCTCCCAGCTCTCCTGGTGAACTTAAATCGTATCTGTTATTCAAGAATTTGCATGGCTAACAAGCCACTTAACACTTGACATTGCGTCTTTTTCTTGTCCCACTGACTCCCGTAAGACACGGAAGCAGTAAAACATTGTCAGAGGGGCAGCGTGCAGTGAATGCGTTAGTGAAAGCTGCAGCCAGAGATAAAACAGATCCATAGGAGGAAAATCCAGACAGTGCAAAGGGATGCCAAAGTGCAGGAATGAGGTGTTTCAGAATGAGGAGGAGAGATGAGGAGACAAAGAGGTGTGGACAGTGTCAGAGGTTGAAGAGATGGGAAGGACAGGTGACAGAGGAGTGCCCACGGTGCCAGACCGCTCAGAAATGCCAGCGAGGTGCTGCTGCATGAGCAAAACAGAGAAGCCATGCACTTGCTGAATGTGTCATCAGCCAGCTGAAAGCAAAGCCCAACAGCAAATGCTCAGAGATGAGTTAGGACAGGATTTACCTCACCGAAGTTCAGTGAGCTGGAAATTGCCCTCTGTGAAGAAGCTCTTTGTTGCTATTTCTCCTCAGTCACTTCAGGGAGCAGACGTGTCCAGCTGCATTTATACGCCTCGGCTTTGGATGACTAAAGGTAGGGAAGACAAACCCTTAGGCTCTGTCCACTGGATTTTAACATGATTTTAAAATCAGGTTTCCCCAAGCTTGAGGAGCTGGCAGTAGTTGTGCTCATCAGTGATGGAGTCACAGGAGCAACAAAAAAGTATTGAAAGGAAAATTCAGCTTCAGATTTTTTGCAGCAAATTAAACTGTGGAATACATCAGATTACTGATCCACTTTGTAACTGTTTTTATGGGGAAAATAAAAACCTTCTCTGATTTAGACTAATTAAACCCAAAGTCTTCATCTCTTTTTTTTTTTCTTTTTTTTTCAAACCCAAAAGGCAAAAAAATAGCCCAGCTTCTGTTTACTGCACATTTCTCATTCTATTGCTCCTTTCTCTGTACCACTTTTTCTTTCTTAAATCTTTCTTAAAGTTTGGTGCTTGAAGCTGCAGGTATTATTCAGGCTCCTGAAATCATGGCACTGTCTAAAAGCCTGTGACTTTCTAACAATTTCGCACTCTAAAAAATTGCATTTGATTTTAGAGGTTTTAGAGAAACTTGTGTCTATAATCACAAGAGCAAGGATTAAACTTACTGGAATGAACTGTTCTTGCTAACACAGCATCAGCAGAAGTGTGAGCAAGGTCATAAAAATCATCAGCAGAATATGCAGTTTATTTCCTTGCTTCTCTTTTAAAAACCTCCTCTGCTGATTCAGTCTTAAGGTCCTGCGCTGGGCCCACAAGTTTCTTTCCTGGAACACTAGCATTTAACCCTCAAGGGCTTTGCAAGACTGAATCAACCTCATAATGTCACAGAAAGTCTCTCACTGGTAATAAATGCAGCTGTTAGAACAAAATACAGCGATATCCCAATGGCTCTTGTTGCAGCAGGGCCCAGTATGATCTCCTGCATAAAAAACATCCTGTTTCTGGAAAGTAATCTTCACACTGCATCTCAATTAGTTTGAAAAGCAATGTGTTGTTAATGTATTTTTATTTACAGGGCCATAAGCATTATGGGCTTATGGAAATAACAGTGAGCTTTTCTAATGATCATGTCCCAAGCCATTCCAACAGTGATGGTCTCTCTTTGGGGCTTCTCTGCTTACTTTATTCCCTTTTTGGTAGAAGCAGCTGATCTGAAAAGCCACATGAATATACTCCTAGTACACATAATCCCTTCAGTTCCCTGCATGACTGTAATTGAACACATTGGCAGACTTTGTTTGTATTTAAATATTTTCATAGAAGGGAAAGTCATTCCAAGCTGATCACTTCATGAGGCCAAAAATTTCATTAGGAGCCATTTGAACAATTCAAATAAATAAAAAAATCATTATTTGTCAGTACAGTTGTGCCATGAACACTATAATTTATATTAAAAGAACTCATAGTCCCTAATGAAATTTTTCTTTGTTTATGATAATCACCACAACAAATTTATTGAGTAAGAAAGAAAACACATATGGCTTTGTACTTCACAGTTAGGTTGTTCTATTTGAAATTTAATTCAGAAGGATAGAAAGGTATTTTAGGATTGAAAGGATTATAGGTACTGTAATACAACTATAAAATGGAGGTGGTGGCTCACTGTAATAGAAACCCACTAAGATGCAGGATGGGCAGGACTTTCTGGATTATCAAATCCAGTCCCCAGGTACTGCAGGCAACTGGATCACATGGTCCGTTTAATACATTTTGGGAGCTTCCCAAAAAATTAGGTATGGCTTCATTCCTATAATTTTTATACCCTCACTATGCAGGTAGATATAGAACAGTTAATTGATAGTCTTAATTATTCATGGGCAATTTATACCCACTTGCTCATACACACAGATGGCCTACTCTTAATATTCCCCCTACCTGATGTGTTTACAGAAAGTAATCAAACACATCTCACTCTTCAGCTGCTGGGCTAAACAAGCCCTTTATACAGGCTGTCATTCCATGGAAGGCTCTCCAGTCTCCTCTTTACAGCCCTTTGCTGTACCCATTTCATTAAGAACCCAGCTTTCTTTAACACAATCAGAATAATGCATTTTATTCCACACAAAATCTAATTAGGGTCTTAGTCAAGGATGTTCATACTTCCCTTGCTGTGCTGCAAATGTGTCTCCTACTGCATTTTAGAGTTTCAGTTGCCTTTTCCATGTCCATGCTGCACTGAAACATGAAATCTTTCAGCATTATTGGAGGTTTCCTGCAGAATTTTGTCTGCTGCTACCTCCCTTACTACTTCTGTGGCCTCGCTGTTCAAGGATGTTCAGCTCTTTCTGTGCGATATTCTGAACTTTCTCTACACTGATGATGCCTCCTAACTTGGTGATTTCAATGTATTTTTATGATCAGACAGCTCTGTTTTCTAAACAGGTCACTGATGAAAATAATAACAATCAGTCGTAAGACTTACAGTTTAGGGGCTCTGAGTAAGTCCCTTTCAGTACAGTTCAGCTTCTCATCTTCCAATACCATGTATGCCTGGCAGTTCCCCTATAAATCTCAGGGTTCTCCATGCAGGAGATATAAATTTATACACGGCTCCTCATCGGCTATTTTATTCACGTCCATACAGCCCGATTTCCCTTCTTTGTCTAGCTAATTAATTACTCTGTCAAAGAAACCTATCAAATTAGTTTGATATTATCTAGCCTAGTAAATACTCGTTCCATTTTATTCTGCTTTCCAGTGACTGTCATTACTTTTACAACTCTCTCCTCCCACATTCTTTCTAAAAGCCTGACATAAAATATTGCTGTACACAAAACAAAATATATTGTGTTTTATCAGTGAAAATCCATGTTTTATTTGTCTTTAGTATAGATTAGTTATTTACATCAATATACAATTTTGACTAGCAGATAGTGTTGAGCAGCAGTTATAGATTGGTTGACTCTATATTCCCAGCAGAAATGTATATGCATCATTTTTTATTCTAAATAGTGTTAGTACCACTTTTTTAAAGGATTGGAATACAAATTTGGCAGGCTGGTCCAACTGAGACACAGCCCCACATGCCACAGGGTCTTTTCCAGAACAGCTTTATAGTTGACTGATACATGTTGCAGAAAATCAGAAGACAACATGTACAGTGACTTGTGATCATGGGCATTGGGCATGGCAGAAATACAGGTTTTGAACAAACAGAGAAGAGTTGGGGAAGATTTGGCTGAGAGGTGCTACATGATTGTTTCAGATAGAGATAAATTGCACAGAGTCTTGTCTGCTTTGTGCTTAATTTTAATTATGTTGTGGGCAGTACACAAATTGAAAGAAGAGTTAGTAAGAAATGAAATCAAGACTTGAATTTCAAGTCCACTGCTGACCCACAGACTTTGTGTGTCCTTGGGCAAAATGCTTTGTTGGGTTTTTTTGGTCTCACTGCCTCATCTGTAAAACAGAGATAACACTACTTCTTTTTTTCCCAACCTGACTATTTACATAATAAAAGCCTTTCCATGCATGACAGACTCTTATATATTTGTACAGCATCTAGAATAATGAGGACCTGGATCTTGGGATTACAACACAAACAATACACAACAATTAAGATTATACATCCATCCAAAATATACCTAATGCACCTCATACTACAGTACCTTGCCAGAGAGACATGACTTTATTCCATGGTGAGTTCTGTTTCTTTGATTTCTGCAGCTGCTCCTCTTCTGCTGCTCTTTTGCCTAAGAAAAGCTTTGGCAGAGAGTTAAGTTTAAGGTTAGCAGTGACAATACTTCTGTGGTGTACTGCAGGTGGAAGGCACGATGGACCCCAGAGTCTGAAGGGAATTGCATGGAACCAGGCAGCACTGTGCAGCATCTCTGCACTTCTGCAGCACCTCTCCTGTGGCCCCATTCACCTCCCACTGGATCAGGGAAGAACTGCCTTAAAGGATGTTTGTCTTTCTGTGTAAAGGGAAAAGAAAGAGCCTCTCACCCATATTGCCCCTGGGGAGGACTGTGCACCCACTGCAGGTGATACCAACCCAGAGCTGTCTTGGTAAGCAAAGCCTACACCCTTGGAGAGGTCTCAGTGCATTTGGGGATGCAGTAGGAAATACTGGATGTGCTCATGCTGTTCAATGCTTGTGGGGTGGGGTACAGTAATAAGCATCCCCTCACCATCAACCTGGAGGCTCCAGGATCAGAGATCCATTACTGTACTGCACATTTTCCTAGGAAATGTTCTCTGAAGAGTTTGCTCAGCTTGGAGAAAGACAGCTTCCCACGCCAGAACTTTTGGGAAGTGGGAAGCGGGAAGCTTTTCCCCCAGCCTGTATGCCCAGAAGGTAATGCCAAAATAGGTTGGAGGTCAGGCTGGGTTCACACTGCAATTTCTCTACTTGCTGAGAGAAAATAAAACAGAGGGTGTTTGGCTGCCCTGAGCTGGTGTGTCCAGGCCCTGAGGCTGGGCTGGCTCTGTAGCTAATTGGCATGGAGAGGAGGAAAAACATGCATAAATTAGGAGCTCTTAAGGCCAGTTTCCTTCTTTGGTCCCAGAATTAACTGGCCGAGGGCACTTGTATTGCAGCAGCAGACCAACCCCTCCCTGCTGACAGGTGACACTCTTCAGTGCTTCTCTTGTGCTGGCAGATGCGCATGACATTAATTACACTGTGCAGCATTGCCCTGGCTAAAAAATATGGACAGTAAAAAAAAACTAACTTCATTCCCCTCCTTTTCTTCATGAGATTTTTACAATTAAAAAAAAAAAAAAAAAGAAAGATGTGAAGTGATGGCAAGTGCATTATTAATAATACACAGTTGTAACTGATTGGTTTCCTGTCCTGCACAAGGAAGATGGCATTGTGCTATGACTGTTGTCTTACAGGAACTCAGGCTGGATACCAGGTGTCTGTTACAAATATTGGGCACCAAATTAAACACCCACACATCCTGAAAGAACCAGCAACACGACATGAAGAATTATTCATTTTGCCAGCAGTAAAATGACAAAGCAGAGGAGTGACGAATGCTCTAGATGAACCCAGAGCTCCAATTTAATGCATGGGATAAGGACCTCTTTTTCCAAATAAAGACTCCCAACTCTTGCAGTTTCTTACTTCTCCATAATTTAGCTGTGCACATATTTGGCATTTAGAGTGTGACGGATTTACACATTTGCTATCAAATGAGCTGCAAGAGCTAATCAGCTCGCGCAGAATTGCACATATTAATGAAGAAGGCTCTTCTGCATGCCTGCGATGTAGACACCCACTTAACTGGGGCACCAGAGACTAATTTGAAAAGATTTTGTTCACGTAGCTCTTTTCCTATGATGAATGCTTGCAGGGAATCATGCTGTAGAGAGGGAGCAAGCAGTATCTGCAAAATCTGGCTAAATGGTTCTCATTACAGAGTGATGGAAGAGCAATAGGAAAGATAATTTATTAGTGGCTCAAAGCTAATGAGAATAATTAGCCCTATTATGCTTTCTAAGCAAACACAGAATAACTGTTCCTTCAGGAGAGCTGTCTCCCTGCAGCAGTGCCTACGGCTCTGGGTAGGAGGACATGACTGCCAGGGGCAGGAATCTTACAAACCAAGGACCAGGGCAACTGTGTGGAAACACCCAGACATCCCATGGGCCTGCATGAGAACTGTGATTTCCTAAATTTTGGGCTAACAGACCATCTTTTTTTCTATCTCAAAACCAACTACACTGGGCTGATGGACAGAGTTTACACTTCAGCTTAACTCCTCGGAAACCAGAGGCTGGAAATTGCTGCCTTGGATACTGAGATCTTTTGCAATATTCCACCACACAGTACCTTCCAAAACCTTGCAAAAGCCACGCCAGTCGACAGTGCTTTGCAGGGAGTAGTTCAGCAGCAATGGTCAGTCCCCAGGAATCCTGACTGCCAGCAGAAAAAATATTTGGCTTCATTTCCTTTGTAGACACCCAGGTATCCTCCTTCCTTGCTCTGTAAATAAAAGCAGGATGTGCAGAGAAACACAGTATTTTCTTATGACCAGTCAAAGAAACTAATGGGAAAAATTCTAGTTTCCAATCAGTTCCAGCACAGAGCAGTAATGTGCACAACCGGATTAGCCAAAGGGCTGCACTCCTGTGGATCCCGCAGAGCCATGGAACACTCAGGGATGCTGGGCTGCCAAAGGCAAAGGAAATGCCAGCGTTTGGCTACAGTGCTCAACACCTGCTGATAAAAGCTGATTTTCCCCCCACCTCTCAGTTTTCAGAGTTTACTCCTGCAATCCCAGTGTTCCATTACAGGCCCAATCACACTAAAGTAAGCTATTAAATTAAAACGAGGTGCACATGGGCAGCAGTCCCCACTCCCCTGAGTGTTGTTTAGAGCAAATAGCTTGTTTCATAGTTTGTAAAACACAGTTGGCAGGGGTTCAGTGTTATTCTAGGAAATCCATGTAGCCAACATTTCTTTCTTGTAATATAGCACTATCAAGAATATGGAAAGTGATTCTGATTTTAATTTTTTAAAAGGCAAACAGACTAAACATCTGTAGGCTATGTCGCCAGGTCTTGACTTTTCTTTTGAAAAGCAGTTCGCCTCTAAAATCAAAATCACCCATAAAGCCATTCCATCTGAAACAAGACTCTCTGAAGCATTCTCTTAGAGCTTACTCACGATGGGAGTTTTATCTGCTTTTTCACTCCCAAATTAAATGCTGCAACAGCATAGGTCTTACCTCTAATCTTTTTTCACCAGTTAATATCAATCTATCTTTGCAGATGCCTATCAAAAGGATTTTAAGTTAGCAAGATTTGGGCACTTAATTCGGTCTGAGTGGGAGTTTAGAAAAATTCCCAAGGCTTTTTCACCTAACTGCAACTATTTAGGAGGGGCTTAAGGGTCAACATGACTGTCAGATCCAAAATGCAATTTTACAGAGGGAGGAAAGAGGAAATGGAGATTTGTTAGGCTGCTTTTCTTGGCTCAGATTGGAAAGCAAGTCTCTTCCAGTCTCTCTAGAAGGAGTTGCTCTGGTTTGAACAAGTAAGGACATAGTTACTGGGTCAGAGATAGATGGATTACAACAGAACCAAATCATTCTCTGGGGTCGCAGGGGCTGGGATAGAAGCTTATGCTCATCTTGGGACTCCCAACTTGTGTTTGCCATATCCCAGAGCATTCACTCTTCCGGGAACTTTTCCCTCCTTTTGGCTGATGAAACAAATCCAACATCTCAGGCTCTTTCATTATTGGGAAAACCATTTCCTCTCCAGCTTCCAGTATGCACAAAATTCTTGGCCCTGCTGCCCTTCATCTCTTGGTCTTGGTTAGCAGGACTAACACAGCCCTGTGGGCTATTTATATCTTGTTTAAGCCAACACTGGGGAACAAAGTGATGCACAATCCTTGCTCAGCCTCTCTGCTGTGTACACATTTTACTCTTCCTCGACAAGATTTAATCTTCTTAGGGTTAACTATGTAGTGGATGTCCAAGACCTTTGAATCACACCTTAAAAAGACTGAAAGACCAAACCTGTAATTGCAAAAGCAGAATCTCTGATTCACTGCAAACCATTTGTTATCAGCAATTAAGTTTCTTGCTGATAAATGATTCATGACTTGAAAGCCCAGATTACTCACTTTTAACCACAGCAGAAATTCCTGTGTGATTATGAACGCCTGGGCTACATATCTACTGTGACAGGCTGGGAAGTCTGGATGTGTGAAATGACCAACCATTTAAATACAGAAAATAAGAGCTCTTACATATATTTTCCATTCACAGTTTGTAGAAAATAACAACATACTTCAATTTCAAGGTGACTGATGTGAATATAAACATAAAGTGACTTCACTAGCAAATATAAACAGCAGCTTTTGCTTTACTGGAGGCAACAGAACTAAAACAGTGTGACTGATATCCAGACCTGGCCTACTAATTAAAAAGGCTTGAAAGCAGAGCTCCGAGCTCCTGGTACACTCTAGTTCACAGTAACTAAGGCTTTTGTCAGCCATTTGATGTAATCATTTATGGTGTTCAGAACTGCATTTTTCAAAAACCATTCAGACCATAAACCAGATGAGTCATGACCCTGTAACAGAAGGTAAATTATTCTCAAATATTTTATATTTGTGCATTAACACATGCACAACACATTTTTAATTTAGCCAAGAAAAAAATGAATGCCCAAGTCCAAGAAGTAACTGACAAAAGTCTGAAGGGAAAAATGAGAATTCCTAATTTTATTATGGTGTAACCAACTGTAAGGAATTACTGGTCTGAAGCACAGTGTGCAATTGTCTTATCCTAAACATTTACTAAAGCCTATAATTCAGAATGATCCTGACTAGTGAAGTCATCATTGGCAAGCTATCATTTTTTCTTTCTTATTTTTGAAGAAGTCTACATTTCTCACCAATTAGCACAAACATAGGCACAGCCTATGCACAGAAATGCTCAACATTTTCTGGAGGCTGTATTTCATTAGTGCCAGTTGCTTTGACTCTGAGATCAAAAGAGATGCAGCAAGTTCTGGACTGATCATATTTGATAGTTTGCTAAAAGCAGAATTCCTGTTTGAGATCAAATGGCATCAATATGTATTGTTTCCTGTAAGCAGGGTGGAGTGCCTGCTACTTACGTGAGGATAGCTTGAAATAAAGAATTACCATGATCTTCTGCAAAAGTGCTATACACAATGTAAGTAACTGTGCTAAACGAAAGAGAAAAAAAGAGGAAGAGTCTTCATAAATTAAGCCACTTTTACTCTATGATATTATGTATTATCAGGCAGCTGATTTTTTTGGGTGAAGAGGCTCATCAGGTGCCTAATAAGAGAGGATACTTGGCACAGCTCCATGGCCATTCCAACTGATGTCCTGGTTAACAAGCTGGCTACCATACAAGGCCAATCAGGCTACTGGTATTCCACAATACTCACTAATGGCTTCAGCAGCTTAACACTGCCAAACATACAGTGCCATTAATTAGGCAAGAGAGAGAAGGAAGAAAACCCAGGAAGGAGGTAAGATGCCATTCACCTCCTGAGCAGCCCCTCAGCACAACCTGCACATATCCAAACTAGAAGAAAACGAGACGGGCAGACGGAGGAGCAAGAGGAATGTTTCAGACCCAGGTCACAGCTCTCTACTGTGAGAAGCTGTTTTGGGCCCCTGGAGTGCCAGGGCAGAGGGAATTCGAGCCTCACACCACCACATACCTGCAATGCTGCCCAGCACTCCCAAGGCTGGGATGTGCCAGCCATGAGCGGTGGGAACTCATCCTGCGTGCGCCAGCTCTTCCCAAGTCACCACCAGCTGTGGTCATTCACCCAGGGGGGAAGAAGCTGAACAAGGCTCATTAATGATAAAAATACTTGTCCTTTTTAAAATTTATTTTTAGTTCAAAGTGAATCACAACTTCCTGCCCCTCCCTCTCCCCTCCTGTGAAGACAGAAGTACTTCCAGATCAACTTTTTTTGTTGTTTTAAGCATCAAAAGTGTAACACATTTCAACTGCTGCTGATACAGGTTTTATAGGGATGACTGTCAGAGAGAGATTGTTTGTGCAACTCCTTATGGAGCAAAAAGGAAAAATCCCTTCTACAAATGCAGATAAACTTTTGGAATGTAAACAGGTAATACACACAATTACTGCATTACCAGAAGTATTATGCATTTCTCAGAACAGTTGAACATAACAGGAGGGTTTCATCTGATTTCACTCATGCTCTGCTGATTTTTAATGTGTGGCTTAATTCATTCAATACATTTTATAAAGGTATGTAAACAGTTCTGATTTAAAGACCAGAAAGGTTTAAATGAAATTAACAGATCTGGACTGGTCAATGTTAATGTCTTCATTAACTCAGATACCTTATTTATCCCTGAGCACCTTAAAATTATTCCCCCCAAATCTCAGTCAAGAACATGTAACTATTTCACAAGAATGTAAAACTTCATTTGAATAAATCTGTGTCTTATAAATCCCATTTTCCTGCACTGATTTAAACAAAACATAACAAAAGAAACCCAAACCAAACCGTGTCCCCTCCCCTTTGTTTTTCACATGTACTGCAATACTGGAACAAAAATTTCACCCTAACAAACAACATCACCTACAGAC